AATGTTTTCTTGAATGTTTCATAATCCAAATCAAGTGTTGCGTTTGTAACTTCCAACTAAAAAAAGAGATAATCCATGCAGTGGAACCTTTCTAACCTGCTCCAAAGAAGGCTAAGGTCGTTCCATTAGCAGGGAAGGTGATGGCCTCTGATTTTTGGGAATGCAAAAGTTAGTGTTTATTGACTTCAAAAGGACCACACCTTTAAAAGAGAGTACTATGCTAATTTGCTGGCATAGTTAGTAAAGGCTATCAAAAAAAAAAAAAAAAAAAAAAGCCAGGAAAACTGGTGAACACTACCTTGCTTAATCAGGACCAAGTTCCAGCAGAGAAGTCCTTGCTTTCAGTGGCGGCTGTGCGTAACTGTTGCTTTGAACTTGCTGATAGTTACAGTATCGCAATGATGGTGACGTCAACAACAAAGGAAGAAATGTGTGGTCTGCAAGGGAGAATATTTTAAAAAATAAAAACATTGCATGAGGGTATCTTAGTAAGGCTATAGATCTGTCTGCCGAAATTCGTAACTCTGTTATGAAGGGGCGGTTTTAATATAAAAAACCAATAACATACATTTTGGTTCATTTTCTAAATAAAACCAGAAATATCGTGCGTCGGTCACTATGTTGTCAAACCGACACGATGCCAAAAAATAGTTTTCAGTATATGAAATAATTGTGGCTATCAAGTAATATCATTTAGAAATATAAAAATTATACAATATTCGTCTGATTATTTAATCTTTCTTTAATACCAACTGTTTCCAAGTCTACAATTTCTATTCACTTCACTTCATGTTTGAGGTTAAATTTATTTACTTCAATCAAAGTTATCGAGTTTTTTTTCTCTTTTAACTCACGACTACTCTAGGTATATTCTGGTAAGTTAACCATACGCTTTTCGGTAGCAGACTATCACAGATCATCCGCGGCTAGAGTTGCTAACCACACGTCTATCTCGTGTTGAATTCAAAGAAGATTTTACTTTTAATTTTCGCCAATCAAATTAGAAGAGCCCAGACTTTCATACATTTATTCTTTAGTTGCGAACGGAGAAGAGATTGAGTCTTATGTTTGGAAGTGTATTTCTGCGTGAAAATGAATACAATAGCCTTGCCTGGAATGTTAAAACCACACACCAATCCCAGTATCTACGCTAAGGCTACCTTAAATGCATATCCTCTCCCAGGAGGACCATATTTACATATGTTGTTAGCTTTGTCGTTTCCTATTTCCGGTATGTTTCTGGTTTTGCTGGATTGCAATGAAAATTAAAAAAGGACAAGTATCTTATCCGTACAGTTGCAGTTGCGTTGTTCTGCAAAAATATCACGTAAATATATCGATAAAATTAAATTTATTACTGCATTACATCAATAAAAGTTTAAAAAAATACCCAAGCATATAGATACAATATATATATATATATATATATATATATATATATATATATATATATATATATATATATATATATATAAGGATAGTGATTATAGTTGTTATATAGTGTACATTGTAAAGGGAAAAGAGAACCCACAAACGTTTTTCGGTTATAATATGGATATTTTTATATACTATACTTTATTTTCCATATTTTTCTGCTACACGGGTTTCGGGTCTTGAGACCTTCATCAGTTGAAGAATGATTATTTCGACTTATTATTTAAGGGAATTCCTTTTTCTTATTTTTTATTATGTTTAAACCTTGATTTTGTCTGTGGTAATAATCCAAATTCTTCTTGGACTGGCTGAAAATAGTCTTCTGCTTAAATGGTAATTAAACAATTAGGAAGGGTCAGAGAAAAACGAAGGAATGAGATCTTTGTTCTTACCTTTTTATGTCCTCTGTATCTTTTTAAAACTTTCTCCATTTTTGTTTATTGTGCATGCGTACGTTCTTACAGGTAATATATATCTATACATATTCCTTCTCCCTATATATATATTGTTTTATTACAAGGAAATAGTAAATATACATACAAAATTTGTGTGGTGTTCGTGTGTGTGTATGTGTGTGTGTGTGTGCGTGTGTGTGTGTGTGTGTGTGTGTGTGTGTGTTTGTTTGTGTCGTCCGTCCATTGTTTGTTTTGCCAGTATATATATATATATATATATATATATATATATATATATATATATATATATATATATATATATATATATATATTCGTTCTCCATACGTATATATTATGTATTATATTCTTATACTGTAACTACATGTATCTTGTATGGTGTGTTTGTGTGCCTCTGTGTGTGAGTGTGTGTGCGCGCGTGTATGTATAAGCACGGCACAACTAGTGTGTTTTGCCACTATGTGTGTATGGTGTGGGTTTATGTGTGTGGGTTTATGATTTGTTTAGCGCTAGTTTAAATTTGTCTATGAAAATTACTCTTACGTATGAATACAAGAAAACACATTTGAAAAACACATTTAAACCAGCGCTAAACAAATAATATTCCTCGCATATAAACACACATCGTATACACAGAGATGTTAAACACACTA